TGTTTCATAATTTCTTAAACACCTAATAAAAAATCTGCTGAATGATTTTTCAGCCGTTTCAGTTAAGATATTATTTCTGCATAATAGATTCAATAAAATTACAAATTATATATACGTATATACATAACTTGTATATTAATTAATGCAGTGGCACATGATTATTGACCTGCATTACAAAAATTTTGCTAGCATTATTAGACTTTGTGTGCCAGCTTTATAAAAGTTCTGAACAATGTATTTACAATTTACATAACTAAAATTACATATCAGAAATTTACACGCAAATTTTCACCCTATATATCCCTATATCCCTATATATAAAAGACACATTATATATAATATATTTCTCGATAGTTTTAACATTATAAAATATCGGCACGTTCAATATTACTAAATTTTCATTTAAATACTTGCCCAACATATTTAGTGCAGTAGTGTGTTTAGTCTGTGCGAAATTATATATATTTAAATTACAATGTAATCTATATGTGATTTCAGAAATAATAGATTTAATAACAGATAAATTGATTTATCCAGATAACAGATAATAGTTATTGGATACGAAGCATCTAATAACGGAAAGTATCTGGGCCAGAATTTGGCTGGGTGATGGCTGGGCCCTGCAGGGGCCCAGATATCGACCGGTCAAATTCTGGCTCAGATACGACAGTTATTGGTGCGTAGCATCCAATAACAGTATTATCCGTCAGATTACGATGATCGAGCATCACATGAACGTGAGTTAAAGCAAAAGTTTAATTACTAAGATAAGTTTATTAATAATTATGATGTAATTATCTTTGTATATAAATATTTAGCTAATTTAAAATCGATCAGGTCTTTTTTTCGTTGACGTATAAAAAAAAATGTCAAAAGTAAACTCACTAAAAAATCGATATTACAAACCTACCAGTAGTGAAATCGATGAAATTATTAAAAGCACAATTCCTGAAAATACCCGTAGAGCAACATCTAAATGGGTTAAGATTTTAGAAAACTGGCGCCGTGATGTAGGATACGATTATAGAATCGAAACTATTACTGATAAAAATCAGCTTGAACGTGAAATGACTGAATTCATTTTAGGAATTCGACAAATTAATACCAACAAGGAGTATGCGCCATCATCTTTAATTAATTGCATAAAATTGCTTAGTGTGTATATTTTAAAACATCCTAGAGGCAACAAGATTTTTAATATATCGAATAGAAAAGAATTTTCTCATTTATGGGAGGTGTTTAATAGGAAAATGAAGAAGCTTAAAAAGGATGGAATCATATCACACCATCATGATATTCTCACGGAAACAGAATTAAGAACTATATTTCAGCATAATTTAGTATCAAGTAATACACCACAAGGCTTGCAATACCGGGTTTTTATGTGGTGTTGCTTGCTATTTCAACCCCGTGGTGGTGAACACTACAATTTATCAATTTCACAATTTGTATTTACTTCTAATGGTAGTATTTATTTTATGAAATACTCTCAAAAAAACGATCAAGATGGAGTAGATAGAAATTTGAACACACTTGTTATACCTGTCCCACCTGATCCAGAAGATTCACAAGGCCCCATGCATGATATCAAGCTATATTTTTCGAAAAGACCAGCAAATTCTCAATGTACTTTTCTTCACTTAAAAATTAATAAAAAAGCGAGAGGTAAATATATTTATTATTGCTATATATAATTATGTAAATTAATTAATACTTATTATTATTATTATAGATTATTCAAAGAATCCGTGGTATCTTGATGAAAGGCTAGGCGATAAAACGTGTAGATCATTTATGAAAACAATATGCACTGCGGTTGGAATTAATATAGGTGATCGTGATATTGTTAACCATTCAGGCTGATCAACTCCTATCACTTTTCTTTTTCAGAAAGGTGTTCCCATGGATACTACCATGTCCATTACTGGACATAAAAGTGAATTGTCTTACCGAATTTATGCACAACCTTCTGATAAGCAATGTGAAGATGCATTACAGCATTATCATTACTAATTGATAGTGTTGGAACTTTACCTTCTAATTCTCAAGAAGAATCAATTAATATGAATATCAGTTTTTCTCAAGTATCTGTATATATTAAAATTAATTTGTAAAGTTATTCATTATTAAATCGTATATTTTTATAGAATAACAGTTTGCAAAGTGAAGGTGAAATTGAAACGGATGCTATCCCTACTAAGGTACATGATTAATTTATTATAATACAATTTTTTTTAATTAATAGTAATTTTATTTTAATGTTTTTATTTTAGCGCAAGAATTCTTTTGAACCCATGTCTCTAATCAGTCCCACATTAATGAAACCATTTCGTCAACCCTTGCAAACAAGTTCTATCCAATGCATGTTAATGCCTTAAAACAAAATCCCACAATTGGTGGATGACAATTCTCCGTAAAAACTCTTATGAAAATAGCGATAGTACTTCTTATGAAGCTGGTGCTTCGGGCACTACTGTCGTGAAGAATTACTACATTAACGCACAAACTGTCAACATTAGTTAAATAAATTAATGCTATGTTTGCTGTTATTTAATGTTTCATATTAATAAATATACAAACGTTATTTCTCTGCACAATAAAATAAAGAATTTCTATGCTATGAATGTTATTATTTCGTACAATTAAGAATTTTAAGGCCGAAGGCCGATTTGTTACATATTGTATAATAAACTGAACTCCGACTGCCAAATAACCAAAATAAACTTTTTTTTGTCAGAATAACTCGAGTTATTCTGGCAGCTCGATCATAGTAACTGACGGATAATGTATACATATCAGATACTACAGATTATATGACTGCATATCTTTGATTTATGATACTTTCAAAGAACTTCGATGGCAAATGGTTCCAAAAAAATTTAGAAGGCTTATCGTTCGAAAAATTGTCAAACACTTAGGTGTTAGCAAGTCTTCAATGAATCGGGTTCTCGGGCACTTTCAAAGATATTGAAAAACTTCTTCACTTTCAAGAAAACCACGTTTACTAAACACGAATGATATACTATATTAAAACTAAAAACCTGACTAATATTTGTATGAATTACAATCCGAGATGGAACTTTGGTTAGGATATAAAATTAGTCACATTACAATTTAAAAAGTTATATACCGATTTAGATATGCACATAAAAAAGTGTTTTAAATATATTGTATCTATATCTATTTTTCTATTTTATAAAAATTACATGTAACTGGAATAGGATTAAGTTTAATACGATTGATAGCATTGATGACTAGATCATATGCTCCTCTTTCCATGTGTATTTCAGCTTCATTAATATGATTTTCGACAATTTGTATTTTCTGAATTTCGGCATTTCCTTCATTATTGTCAGAAATTAAAGAGAAATACTCAGCAGCTTTGGGCAAATTACCAAGAACAAAATGACATTTTCCAGCACGAAAGAGAGCCTTGAGATTATTATCTTCTATCTTCACAATCCTTTAACGCACCATGGAAATCATCAATCATCAAGAACGGTTACAGTAATAAGTGGCAGATGGTCTAATTTTTTTGGATATATCTAAACTCATGTTTAAATGTATAAAGTAAAATAATAGGTTGAGTTTAAAATTACCTATAGCTTTTGTATATTGCCGAATGCCTTCTGAAAAATTTATATTGTTCATTTCCTTGATTTTTTATTTCTTCTGCAGACCTACAATTAAAGAATGATTGTGAGTAATTCTGAAATAATGATTTAAAGAAACAAAAGACTTGAATATAGAACGTAAAATGACAGTATAATGACGAATCTCTTTATAAATGCTAAAAAATATCTACACATAGTATGTGCTATATCAATATTACTATAATTTATATTATTTTTGTGTGCCTAATTTTTTAAAATAATAAACATTCATTATTGTTTCGAATATTATATCAACATTAATATTTACACCAATTGAAATCATATTAAGCTAGATAATTCTTTTTATATGATCACATTTAAAGTCAAAATTTTATTTAGGACAGACCAACTCTGGGCCGAAATTTTTTTTTTTTAAAAAAAAAGCTATATTAACCTTACCTTATAATTTACTATGCATACGTTCCATTTTTCTCCCCCTCCCCCCTTTTGAAAAAGGGATGTAATGTAAACCACCAAATCA